CGAGATCCGACACGCAGCCGCCGGTCTTTTTTGGCCAATTCGCAGATCTCATGTTTCATCACGTCGTGCCTCTCGAACCCCACTTGCTTTGCGAAACCCTCGGCAGCCAGGACTCGATCCATCGAAAGACATCGGTTTCAATTTGAGCTCTAATCGCTGCCTCAGCTCATGAACTCAACGCGGAAGTCAGATGGCAATTGTTTATCGCAAACGTTTCGCTAATTGCACACCGTTTTTAGTGAATCTTCCTGTCAGTCCAAATTGGCCATTGTCTGGCCCCTTCAAAACAAATCTTTTGTCATACTCAGTCTTTTATGAAATGAGGCAAAAAGCCTTTTAATAGGTATTTATTAATAAAAATTGGGATGTATTCACTCTATTTCGCTCAAGGTGATGAAGGACTGTTTGTAGAATTTTCCCAAAACGTCTCCATTCAATTTCACATAGCCTCGCTTTCCCAAAAGTTGTTCTCTTCCAGACAGGAGTGAACTGCAGTTTCTACCTCGCCTAGGTCTTATCAACACCCATCGAGTCGTGACAGTGCAACATGCGAGCTTGACGCATTAACCATTACGCCATGTTGGCACGTCCATTCATTAAACTTCTATAGAAGTCGAAGAAAATAACTTAAATTACGGAGTGAATGTTCAATCAAGAAACGCTTTCAGACCAAATATAAATAGGCTGAATAGCAAGCGTGTAAATACAAAATTTACACCCAATTAAAAAAATGTATACCTGTTTAGCCTCCTACATGTATAGCTCAAGAGGTTACCTGTGGCATGAGATATCACAGCAACTTGAGCAGCTCACAAGTTCATTTTCGAACCTGTTCTAAGGTTAAACGACTCATTTTCTACCATGGCAACTTCTTCTACTACTACTACTAAAAACACAAATACTCATTGTATTTATCCCAATAATCTCTGTGACATTTAAGTAAGGTTAGGCGGAGAAACGTCAGGCGCCTTTATAATATAAAAGATGCACACCGTCAATTAGCTGCTCATGAGGGAGGAACAGAAGTAAAGATGTGGAATTAAAGGCTAAAAGTACAAAAGTTGTGCAACCCTGTTTTCGCAACTTGGTCATATTGGCAGGAAGACATCGAGGAGCACACCTTGTCCGGAGTCCATAGTATGCATGATCATTTCTACAGTCGGACCCTGGACGTGGTACATTTCCAGACGTTTTGTCGGCTACGTCAGTGAGTCTTGTCAGTCTCAGCAACCAAGCTACAACTCGTCAAAGAGACAAGTGAAGCCGATCGTTCGACAAATTGTCTGCTAAACAATCGTGGTATCTCTCCTTCTTCCTAAAATAATCACCCATCATATATCCTCGTATCGTTCCTTAAATATCACAATTTCTTATTTGTTTATCTAAACCTATTTGAAATCTATTCACACTCTTCGCTGGTTTACACATCCCTCCCACTCTGTCGAGAGTGCCACCATCATCGCTGCCACCGTATCCGTACCACTTTCAAGGCGTTGTTCCACACTGCCTCAAGCCTCACTGAGCAAGCACCTAAAGTCTGGATTCTCAATTAGCATGGAAACCTAACTTGACACTGCAGATTCCCGTATCGCTGTGCCGAATGTGCACCCAGTAAATATCGTGGTCAAACCCTTACTTCATGGACCACGTCTATGAGCAAACTTATCTACCAATATTCAACTAGAAATGGCCGCCACCGTTTCTCTCGCTCTTCCATGACATTCTATTGCTTGCCAACCCCCAAATGTGAGGGTTCTACTTGATTTGAATAGGCTCACTGTAGACGTCTTCTCTTGGTTCCCGATTGTTCTTGCTGGCCTCGTTGTAATTTCTTTTCCTAAAATTAAAAATATTACCTTTGTCCAGTCGTCTTCTTTTTGCTGATATTGCTGTTCCCTGATCTTCTCCGAGTTTGCTTAGGCGGTATGCAAAGTTTTCGCTAATCCTTCCCTCTTCATGTCTCCTGCTCATTAGGTTTCTTTCAGTCAGGGCATCGATGGCTTCTCGTAGCTTACGGTTTTCGTGTATTTCCACCGTATGCAGCCAGTCTTGATGTCGATGTCATGCCCTGTTCGTGCGATATTACGCTATTTCAGATCTTTCAGAGTCCATGTTTCTGCAGTGTCTTTGCTGTTCCTTAATTCGTAGGCTAACTTTTCCTCCTGTTTCACTAATCTTCTTCTGCTCACAGTTGCCGCATTTGATATTATAAACTTCCGAGCAATCCAGTTTGTGAAACTTCTCATGTTGCGTCGGCAGGCTTGTGAAGTGTTATTACATCAATATTCCATTGTCTTAGCAACGCTAGCAATTTTCGGCCCAGTTCACAGGATGGTAGGCATAGCCATGTTTTGTCTCCCTCCAGATTTCTGATCTTATTTTCATAAAATCCTAGTATAAATCTGTTCTTTATGACCCCAATATTTATTTCAATAAATTCTATGGGCTACCTGTTACGTCAGTTTCGCCAACTCCTCGTTGCTAGGCCCAGTGTTTATTAGTCTTAAGCTTCTGATGATCATATTCCTCGGTATTCCGATCGTTAGTCTGTATTTGTAATGAGACTGGCAATTGAGGATAATTCCCGCATTTGATTTCTTTCTGAATAGTCTCCTTTTGAATATTCCGTTGGAGCGAATGACCTTAACATCCAGGAAGGGTAGTCGTTCATCCTCTTTCACTTCCAATTATTCCGTCAAGTTGGTTTATAAAATTGAGGAACTCATCCAAATTTTGCTTATCATGCGACAACAGTGCAAAGTAGTCGTCTAACTATCGCATAAGCGCTCTTGGTTGCAGCGCAGACTTCTCCAATTCCTCCGCCAATCTGTCCATGTATACATTTGCCAAAAGAGGTGAGAGTGGAGATGCCATCGGTAGTCCAAATATTTGCTGCTAGATATCGCCGTTGAGTGTAAAATATGTGGTACTTACTGTCAGGTCGATTAGTCGTGTACGCTCTGCTCCCAGGATATCCTCCTCTCGTTCCAAGATCTCCAGCAAAACGGTGACTGCCTTCTCGCCTGAGATGTTTGTGTACCTGAATTGTACGTCAAAACCTACTAACATCTCCGTCCCTGCCACTCCAATATTTTGGATCCTTTGATAAAATTAATATCAATTCTTAACGGTATTGTAGAGTCTGTCATTTACTTTCTTGAGCATTTAAACAAATGAATTTCGCTAAAAGTACTGATGGGCAAGATATAGGTGACCAGTGTATGCGACTGAGTGCTTGTGTGAATTTTCCGTGTGTGTGTGTGTGTCTTAATGGGAGGGGACTAGTGATAAGCTTGACGACTGGGATACCAGCTAACACAGATGTGAACATTCTACTAGCCTGGGCTTTTGAGGGAGTGTCAACTTGAAGGACAAGAGAAGTGTAATTTTCGCGATTCGGGGGAAAAAGGGGAGGCGGTGAATTTTCACACCAGCTGTATGACTGAAGTCGGACGCAGGGCCCCAAAGCATGAGACATATGAGGAAGAGATTAACCGAGTTATGAGTTCGAAGCCTGGGGAAAGCAAGATTTCCAGGCATTGGTATGTACATGGACATGGGCATCATCTGCACTGAATACCCAAAAATGACGTGGTCGGGGGCGGGAATTGAAGGCTCATAGACAGCCAGATTTCAGAAAGTGATTTTGATGTGTAGCAGTGACCAATTGACAAGCTGGGTAGTGTAAAAAGGGGGCGAAATGAAGGTGAGGAGGTCTGCAGACGGCACCTGGTACCGGTGGTGAGAATGATTACGCTTCATCAAACCCACATGTGTAACGAGAACACAGAATTGTGTGACTAATTGCATTGGCGATGTGAAGTGGCGAGGAGTGATGCCACAACGGTTGAACAGAAAATTGGTCAGCGGGATTGCTTTCACTTGTCAATTTAATACGTTGTAACTCTGTCCTTACGACGGCGCTTCTCACGGACTATGCTGGCGAAACTTTTGGGTATGCAATAAGTCGGTGATTCCAAAACTGTGCGCCGCGGCGCCCCGGGGAGCCGCGAACTATTGTAAAAGCTTCATAATTAATTTAACCCAGACATTTGGCCTAACTAAACAAAAACGCGAGAGAAAACGCTGCGTCTTCTCGATGGCGCCATATGATTGCACTAGGCACATCGAGGTGCGTAGAACATTCGCGACAGATTTGGAATGTTATGGAAGATCTTGCGGAAAGTATCTAAGCGAGCGTTGCCGAGTCGATTCGGTCAGTCGACTTATAATTTGAGTCTAATGAAGTTAAACTCAATGCTTCATATATAAATAAACAGTGACATAAATTAGTAATTAGTTCATATTGTAATTTAGTTAGTGTTGTATTACTTCTTGTTTGATGTCTTTGATAAATTATTTTGTGATTTTTAGCTCTTGTATCTTTGATAATGGACCGATTTTTTTACAGTTATAAACGTAATAGTGCAGATTAAGAAAGTATGCCTTTAACTAGTGGCGCTAGTGTGAAGAAACGAAAATATTTGTCAGCATGGAATTGACAGAATTTCGGATTTAAACGTGGAAAAGGAAATGAGAGTGACCGTGTCCAGTTTAATTCCACGATTTGAGAAAATCTGCAGTGATTTGCAGGCTCATCCATCACATTAATTATTAAATATTAATTTAATGTTAATACAATAAAAAAAGATAATGAAGATACACGAGTTTTATTTATTTTTATCCCTTACTTACGAATAGTCATACTTAGGGTTGGGCGCCATGGAAAAATTTTAATTTAAAAATGGCGGTGCGACTAAGAAAAGTTTGGTCTGATGCTGGACACCACGAATACTCTGGCAGAGGACAAGGGACTAGGTAGGTTCCACAGGGTCTACCTGACGCTCCGACCAATTTGCGAAAACCAGGTCAAACCAATACTAGCTAACATACTGTTTAGGTTAGTCACATTATTGTCCTTCTATTTCTCCCCCCCACTGCGACCCGCGGAGTTTAGACTTTTAATTTCGAACCCTTTTTAATGATTTCCCTTCTATTATTTTCTAAATAGGACACTTGGTAAAACGACTTTTCTATTTTTTTTTCGTCCCGTCGTTTTATATTTTACAGATAGCCTCCGTCCTGTCGGAACACTAAACTATATGATTATAATATTATCCTTCTTTTATCAGGGAAAATTATAGGGGTATATTTAAAATAATTATTTATGCAATACCGAAGGATAATCTATGTTCCTATATTATATTAACTTAATTATGTACCCCATAGTTCCTAGTCAAGTAAATTTGCTGATTATAATAGCAAATAAAGTTTGCCTGATCAGCACACAAAGTATAACTTCCTGCTTAACTGGCCCAAAACGGTTTTGAATTCCTTTTCGGTTTGCTGATGACACCAAAATGAAGCCACGACTGTCGTCCACCATGTATGAGAGTGTCTTTTGGGATGTGAGGCATTTATGTGAAAATAGGAAGAATCAAACCAAAACCACTTCGATGATTTTCTAGATTCTCCGAATGAATGGATTTAAGCAAAATATTAGGAACATCGCTTCTAATGTGATAAAAAGTCATTTTGAAACTCGTAAGGAAATCTTTTACGGAGCGGAGGGAAAAGGTTGTCTGAAAGTAATGGGCGTGAATTTGGCCTGTTCTTCTTCTGTAAAGGATATCTGACTTTCTAGGCTACAAAGCCATGTGAAATCTTGTGGAGTTTGCGACATGGAGCTAATATTCAGGGCCTTTCATTGAAAGGTTGATTAATTTGATAGAAGAACTGAGTCGAGTTTTGCACAATTAAATGGAGTCAAGGCCTGAATTTTGATTTGACTGGTCTCGCAGTACGAATCCCATAAAGGGTACTTTTTAACTCAAGCAAGCCCAAAATTCCGTCCAAGCTATGAGTACGCCTTTCAGGCAGCAAAATTAAGTGAGATTTATTGTAATCGGGGTACCGTCTACTTATTTCACCGCGCAACCTTTAGTAATTGGTCATAAATCACCTTAGGCAATAAAGGCCCATTGAATCCTTATTAAATATATACTGAAAATGTTGAAGCCTACTCATCTGATTTATTTATAGTTTTGTGTATTTCCCAAAGTAGAGTTTTGTTGGTTATATTATAATTTTCGCCTTGTGGTATACCAGTCTAACCAGTTAATTCAATAATGTAACTCAATATCTCAATTCATCATAGTTACCGATTTTATTTTGGGACAATTATGTCCAAAGCAAGTGGTATGCTTTGTTCACATGCATAAAGTAGGGCCGCTTATTGCTTCGTGTGTTTTTTTTTACTAAGAACGTAGTCACTTTTGGTTATTTAAATTGAGTTGATGACCTATACTCTATAGTAATAATGATTGACTAATAATTGTTTCTCAAATAATACTATGAGTAGACCCCATGGTACTCATGCCTTTGTGGACAAAACTCCACTAGCATTACTTAAATTAGGGTTATACTTTATTCGATATAACCACGGGCTGCCCATGCTGTTGTAAGTGAGGATAAGAGTTGCATTATGGTAGCTCTGAAGTTGTATGACTGTAATTGGAGGCATAGGGGTTTGGCTTTATGAGGCAATAAGAGTTAGCCAATCGCTCAGGCAACATTTGGTCCAGACTTTGTGTACTAGCGTCAGCCATGTATAAGGCATTCTCATCATACTTGTATGAAGTATAAAAAGCGATTAAGGCTTGGCTGTGAGCTTTATGTAGTCGGACTGAAGGGATCACAAAATGTAGATCGGTAATAATCATCAAAATGCTTTACTGACGCTCTTTATTTCCCCTGACAACCATCAATTTTTCTAAAGGTCGCTATTGTTCGTATTCATGCCTTCACTTCCCCTCAATACAATATGTCGGATATCGTTTTGATTTCAACACTTTTACTGATTCTACATTTGTGGTGATTAGCTTTACATCGCTTTGTTTATTCGATTTTGACCTAAGCCTATGTTAAATCATTTAAGGCGACCCAGCGTTATTAAGTACATCTTCAAGAATTACGGATAGTTTCAAAATATATATAAAAAATAAGTTATTTCGCCAATTTAAATGTCAAACGAAAGTCTGCTTCTTAAAAGATATCACTCTAATGCATGATTACAGAGAGACTTAGCTTGTTTTGAAAGTCAGCTCTTCCTTGTGATTCACTGGCACCAGAAATAAATTGGCGAAACAGGGAAAAAATCAGCAAACGAATCAAGAAACATCAAATGCTCTGTAGAAAAATGGATATCAAAAGATGATAATTAGCGGAACACATCGTACAGACTGTCGCAAGATCAATTTGGAGGCAACTGAAAGGAGGGCCTCATACCGTGAAAACACAAGGAAACGGAAGATTATGGAGTTAAGTGACATACTTGAGGAAAAAATCTAATGAACAGGAGATTGGAGGAGGGTAAAGTTAGCGATTACTTTGCCTACTGGTTAAACAAACTAGATACAACAAGACCAGCAAAAAGGAGACGACAGGATCAAGGAGCTATCGTGGACCGGAGGA